AGGGAATTGTTAGAAGGCAGATCATCATGTTTCATATTGTATACGATGTCAAGCCACTTGTTGTAGAAGGCCTCAAGTTGGTCATCTCCATAGTAGTTAAACATATACAAATGATGGGCGTTGTAGAGAACTTCAGTGTGGTCAGGTGACTTGAAGCTAATCAGTATCATTGCGAATAGTTCTCGTCCCTTGATGAAGTCCCCACTTCTCCCATACAATTGGTTCTTCATGGACATGTCATACTTCACTTGCATGGACTTGTCCCCAGCATTGTCAATGACTTTCCTCAAGGCATTGGAGAGCTTGGCATCAATGGATTGGAATCTCACATCGGGTGCTTTGGCCAGAGCTTCCAAGTCAGGTTGATCTGCAAGACACGGAGCTAGCCATGCTTTCCAATCTTCATAGTTTCGATCTCCACTTGCAACACAAACTTCATGAACGACACTTCCCTTCCATGATGAAAGTTCAGTGGTCTTAGGCCAGGGTTGGAGGCTGATCTTTTCGGCTTCTCTCAGAGATACGGATGACTTGGATCTATCCCTCTCAAGGTTCTCCAACTCCTTGACATTTGTGTTGTACTCGTTCCTGAGCTTCTCGAAGGCTTCAGCTTCTGCTCGGTATTCCTGCTCTTCACCATTGGCACGATCTTCAGCTTGAGAGAAATTGTTCTTATAGTAATCTTTCCGATCCTCCATCTTCTTCAACTCATCTTGAAGATTTCGAACTTCGGCGTTCCTCCCTTGCTTCATCTCGTCCAACTCTGCTTTCAGTTTGGCACACTTCTCTTCACATTCATTCCGAGGCATAGCATTACTGGGGTACCCATGTAATGTAGTCGGTCTATTCAAGTCTATTCATTGATGAAGAAGAATGAGCTTGGTTTTCCAACTTCAGGGCAGCAATGGTGCTCGACATCTCTTCTACCTCAGCGAAACGCTCATTGGCCAATTGATGCATCTCGGTCAAGTGGCTTTCAGGAATGGAATAGTCAGTCGCACCTTTGATCACGAGTCTTCTGTCGTTCAACATCTTGATGGACTTACCTGCATCCCTGTGAGCACGCTCAAGAGAATCCTTTTGGGTTTCAAGTTCAGTATGAAGGCGAACAATGGCTGTATCCCTGTCATTGATTTCATTGTGCAAACTGTCGAACAAGTTACTCGTCACATTCGGATTGCTACTCATGTGATCGATCTTGTTCAGAGCATCTTGATATTTCTTACCAGTTTCATCGAAATTTTGCTGGAAAGTTTTGAGCAGGTTCTCAGTGTCAATGAGTTCAGTTCTGTTTTGTAAGTACAACTTGTCAACTTCAGCCTTGGATTCCTTCAAGCTGTCACGCTCACGCACGGCTTGCATGTACATCTCGTATAGAGGTCCTCCATGCGGTGATCTGCTTGGCGAAGATCTTCTGGCTTGTTGACAGGAAAGTTCATGATACTGATTCTTCGATTCAGTCAGTTGCTGTTGCATTCGATCTAAAAGACTCTGTTTCATGTGTAGTTCAGAACGTAGTCCCATTATCCTCATGTCCCGCATGCCGCCTGATTCAGCTAGAGATTCTTCAGAAACCCTGTTCTCAGAAATCGCTAGTCGAGATTGTAAGTTTTCATTGTGGATCACCTGCAATCGAAGTTGCGATTCTTCCAAAGCTAAGTGATGTTCACATTCTGCATAACGGTCATGTTCAGATCTTATGTTCCTACGGAACTCCTTCATGATCTCGTCCCTCTTCATGTCAGCAGCATCGAGCTCAGTTTCCAGTCGTCTAACATTCATGGCCATGGTGTGCTTCATCGTCTGGTTCTGATTGGCAACCTCGAGCATCTCGATTTGTAAAGCACATGTTTGGTCGTTAGCATAGCCGACCGCCAGAGCTTCTTGCTTCGCATTCATCTCTGCGTTCTCTAATTCCAGTCTGAGTTGATTGATGTGAGCATTCGCGTCAGCGCCCACATGCACCATAATTGCGTTTGCTTGTCCCATTTGTTCATCGAATTCCGAACGTAGTCGTGAATATTTGAATTCGAAATGAGATGCAGCTTCATTCGACATAGTCTGATACCTTTCCAACTCTTCGATTCTGTAGGTCGCACCTTCATCTTCTTGTTGTGCAGCCTGTAATTCGAAGTTCAGCATCTGGAGTTGTTCGGTCATCGACATCATCTCTTGATGAGTGGTGCTGTCCAGGAAATTAAATTGTTGATAGGCATATGCTGTCGTCTCGCTCAATCTTGCCTGAAGTACGGATTCTTCTTCAGTGGCCTTTTCTAGTGATGTCTTGTATTCAGCTAATTCACTCTGATAGGCAGTGAAGATGTCGCTACCACTCGACGGGGCGTTCACTTGCTGATAAGATCCTGTCCCTGATGGAGTAGCGTCCTGAATCGGTGAAGGCGGATTCGACGACGTAGTCTTTGCCTTAGTCCTTGGAGTCATCGGAGGCGACAATTGTCGTGCAGATGATCTTCTCTTTCCAGGTGTGCTGTCATTATCTTCAATTGCTTGCATTGTCGAAATTTGTCTCCCTCTAGGAGCAACCAGAGGTCGCCTGGGTAGGCGTGTTCTCAGTTCTGAGGCATCGCTTCCACCAGTGTCTACACTCTGTGAAGAATTTGACTGCGTGCCGGCAGCTGGTGCAACGGCATGTCCAGAGAAAGAAAATGCGTTATCGCTGCTATCCTGTTCAGTCATCTGTAAGGCCCGCGGCTACCCGCTCGTAGGCTCCGTAGGAGTCCTACGGCTGATAACCTGTGAATCGGAGGTTGTCTATCCGATTATGTTCTGGTACTTGGTCTTGAAATAGGTGTTTCAGTGATGACGTCACACGGGTGGCGGCTTCAGCATGGCAATTCTTTGTTCCGGTTCCTGCAGTGGTCTTGAGCCAAAGGGCGAGTTGATATACCCCTTGGCTGTGGATCTTTGAGGGCCGAATTAGGTGTTAGTGTACAATGGTCCGTAGCCTACACTCTATTCGCACATATGTATATGTATATGTGTATGTGTATGTATGCATGCATGTATGTATGTATGTATGTATATGTATATGTAAATGTATTTGTATATGTATATGTATATGTATATGTATATGTATGTGTGTGTCTGTATGTATGTATGTATGTCTGTCTGTCTGTCTGTATGTATGTATGTATGTATGTATGTTTGCTTGTATGTGTGTGTATGTGTGTGTGTGTGTGCATGTGTGCATGTATGTATGTATGTATGTATGTAATGTAATGTAATGGTCCTGTAATGTCCGTCACCTGTCCCTGTCTGTGGCCGTCCTGTCCCTGTCCTGTCCTGTCCTTCACCTGTCCTGTCCCTGTCCATGTCCCCTGTACTGTCCTGTCCTGTCCCTTCCTGATCTGTCCTGTCCTGTCCTGTCCCATTCCTGTGCCTGTCCTGTCCCTGTCCTTCCCCCTGTCCTGTCCCTGTCATGTCCCTTTCTGTCCTGTACTGTCCCTGTCCTGTCCCCTGTCCTGTCCCTGTCCTGTCCCTGTCCTAGTCCCTGTACCTGTCCTGTCACCTGTCCTGTCCTGTCCTGTCCCTGCTCCCTGCCCTGTACCCTGTCCATGTCCCTGTCCTGTCCTTGTTCCTGTCACTTCCTGTCCTGTCTGTCCCTGTCCTTTCATGTCCTGTCCCTAGTCCTTCCCTGTCCTGTCCCCTGTCCTGTCCGGTCACTCGTCACGGTCCTGTCCACCTGTCCTGTCCCTGTACTGTCCACTGTCCCTGTCCCTGTCCTGTTCCCCTTCCTGTCCCTGTCCTGTCACTGTCCTCGTCCCTGTCCTGTCCCTGTCCATTTCCCCTGTCCTGTCCCTTCCTGTCCCTGAGTCCTGTCCCCTGGTCCTGTCACCGGTCCTGTCCCTCTCCTGTCTCTGTCCTGCCCCTGTCCTTCCCCTGTCCTGTCAGGTCCTGTCCCTGTCGCTTGTCGCTGTCGCTGTCTCTGTCTGTGTCCCTGTCCTGTCCTTTTCCTGTCCTGTTCCTCCGTCATGTCGGTCTTTCTGTCCCTCTTCTCTCTCTGTGGTCATTGTCCTCTCCCGCTCTCAGCTCCCTTGTATACATATTATGTATACATATATATGTATACATACATATATATATATGTTATGTATTTATATATATATAGTCCGAAGACGGAAATACTAGTGCAACAGTTGTTGGTTTTATCTTCCCAGCCTTCTGTAGTGTTTTCTTCATCCCGCGGTGTTTCAGAATAAGAGCCTGAAACTCAGCATTCTCCTCGTGGGCAAGCAATAAAGCGGCGAAACGTTTGCAGCATGTTCCCATATGCTCATCATAGTTTTATCATAGTTTTACCTTAGTTTAATCACATGTTTATCACATGTTTATGTTATTAGAATCCCCAGGAGCATGTTTTTCGCATGTATCCCATGTTTTTTCGCATCTTTTCGCATGATTTCTCCAGGTCCTTCTCGCGGTTCTGACTGGCCAGCTTGATCTGCTCTTCCAGCGCATCAATGTCTTTTTGCCTTTTGTCACTTTGTTTCTGAAGGATCTGAAGGTACAGGGCCACTGGGCCACTGTGAAGAAAAATTCAGCACCCCTCCAGAGATAGGATTCGGATAGGATTCAAACTTATTCAAACAAGTGGCAGGCTCGAAGTTTGATCGCCAGCTGCTTGGATAGCAGCCTCATAGAGCCAACTCGGAACAAACTTGGAACATGTATCTAATATCAAGGATCGACATTGCAGCCTTCGTAAAGCGTGAAGCTCAACCGGCAAGTGGCTGCGAATTCATTGCGACTCTAGTTGACTGATGCTTGCAAGTGTGGATGATGTTTCTACTCAAAGGTTGCCGGACCAGTGATCTTTCTAGCGATGTCCAGAGTGACTCTTTGATTTTGTTTGCTCAAGTTTCTTGAGTGATTTCGAATGTTCCACTTGTGCCAGGCGTGTGGGCCTGTGTACCTCATATCATGCGTCCTATATTACTCTACGTTCGTAATGCCCTTAAATTTGAGTCCGGGAGCTAGTCTCATGCCAGAATGCTTTCAAGACCAACTAAAATGTCAATTGACACCCGCAGCCACAGAGGAAGTATCAAAAAGCATGAAAGAACGGCACCTGCCTCGAGCTCTTGTCCATCTGCAGTTTGTTTTTGCATAGTCAGGTTCTTCTCCTCAGCAGACCGTACGCTCCCTGGGCCCGTCCCCGGCCTGAAAACAGGCTCAGATTGCCTATACAAATCTCTATGCTAGCGGTCGCGCTATGGCAGGATTTTCGCAAAGATACCTCTGCGGCCAGCTCGTTCCTTTCAAACTGGTCCATGCAATAGTTGCGCTGTTTGACCTTGCAAGGAGTGCATAGGATTGCCCATTGCTAGAATCGCATGCAATCGCCAGAACTAGAACCAAGTTCAGTCAAACTTACAGCTACAAGTGTGCTCTTAGCATTTTCGCTTTGCAGCGTCGTGAGGCCTCATCCTTCTGCTCCTTCTCCAGTGACGCGGTCATGTTCTGAATGGCCTTCTTCACTTCAGTGAAAGAGTCGATTCTTGCTTTCATGGCAAGAGTCACGAGCCGCAAATCATGCGTCCCAGCCTGAAACAAAGCATTCTCTTGCGGAAAAGAACTTGACAATGTATGCAGTATGCAAATATGTGTGCCGTTCACAAGTGCTGGAGAAATGATAAAGTGTGAGACATCTGCCAAGCGGTCTTGATACACGTCACGAGAGAGAAGAAGAGTGAGATACAAACACTGATCATGACAGAAACACATCTCTGGTTCGTGTCACCGAGAAACTTTCAGCAACTCGTCTGTCAAAGTCTTGCGCTGAAACGACACAGACTCCTGTTCCAACACAGAAACTGAAACTACATCATGTATCTTGGAAATGAATACTGTTTGCCTCTATCAATACTATTATGGCTATTCACATACGGTGGACTAATTGTAAATGCCCTTTTTTTGTTGACGCTGTTTCCAGCGAGTGCACCCCAGAATCCAAGCATCTGTGCTCCATTTCCACTCATTCCACCTTATCATTCGGCTGGGGTTTGATGAAACTCCTGATTACAGGCGCTTCTCAGGAGTATGTAGGGCATTAATTGCCAGCCAACAGACGTTGTCACAACCGACGTGGTGTACAAAACCAAGTCTAATGTGTAGCTAAATCACATCAATGTGACAATGTGGCTACATGTTTCGAACTACCGCGAACTGGACAACAGCTTGGCTGCGCATGGCGAGAAGTTCCATCACCTCCCGCTAAGGCAGCTCTCATCAGCTCCCATCAGCTCTCCTGCAAAAAGGATTGACGGGTGAATTGGCCCCGGTCTTGTGTGCCTGACATCTCCTGGCATTGTGCGTCAAGCATGTAACAATGACTCTTCATGATCGTTCATTGATTTTTCATTTGGCACTGGTTGAAATCACAGCAAGTTTGAAAATGCAAAGTGTCCTCTTGCCAAAAGCTCAGTATTGAAGTGGCCAATGTCTCGACACTTGGTAAACCCCAGCCTGAAGGAACTGAGATCTCGCGTCTTTCAGGACTTGCATGGCCTTTTGGATGGCCGCTACCTCCTGCTTGATCATCTCATGAAGCTGTGGCATTTGTTGGCTAAGGCTAAGACATCACTTACGCCTCCACATCACTTACGCCTCGATCAGCTTATCACCTGCGCCTCCCTGACCTGATTCCCATCACAGCACGCGGGATTCTTCTTTTTGCTCATAGCAGCTCAGCGTCAATCAAACGCACGTACATGTTCGTTGTCGTTGTCGTTGTCGTGGTCGTTGTCGTCGTGGTTGTCGTTGTGGTTGTCGTTGTGGTTGTGGTTGTTGTTGTTGTTCTTCTTGTTCTTGGTATTGTTATTGTTCTTGTTCTTGTTTTTGTTCTTGTTCTTGTTGTCCTTGTTCTTGCTCTTGCTCTTGTTCTTGTTGTTGTTGGTCATATCCGTGCTTGACGCGTACCTCTGTTTTTGTGTGTGCGGTCCCAGCCGTCTGCGTGGTGAAGAAAGATACGTGCGCGCTGCGACCTTTAGGGTTTGGGTTGGGGTGGAGGTGGGTGGGGGGGGTTAGGGGTTGAGGGTTTAGGGGTGGGAGACGTGGCCAGGGTTTGAGGGTGGAAGGTTGTAAGGGTGAGTTGTGTTTCTTGGTGTTGCGTGATGGGGTTAAGAGATGGATCCTCCGACATAAGAATTATAAGCCACATCATATCCAAAATCAGACATAAGAGCCATCGGAAACCACACATTGAAACCACTAAGCCGCTGCGTGGCCGCGACGCGTACGCAGCAATTACGCAATTAAATGCCCGCCGAAGAGACCACGTAGAAGGCAAACTACACAAACACTGAGATGCATTCAAAAGCCACACATAGCAGACGCTGACAAACGCAACATGGAAGCCACTTAGACGTCAGACATGGAAGCCACTTAGACGCCAGACATGGAAGCCACTTAGACGCCAGACATAGACGCCGCTTGGAAACCATAAAGAGAAGCCATTTAGACATAAAGGCCACATATACGGCAGACGTAGAAGCCACTTTAGAAACCAAACATAGAAGCCATGTTGACACCCAACATGGACGTCACGTAGCACGCGAGCATAAAGGCCACATGGAAGCCACTGAGCAGGCAAACATAGAAGCCGAATTAACGACGCACATAGAAGATATTGCCATATAGAAGCCAAAGATAGAAGTCACTTAGAAATCAAACATAGAAGCTATATTGACGCCAAACATACAAGCCAGTGCGCAGGTAAACCCAAACGCCATATAGAAGCCAGAGATAGAAGCCACACAGAAACAAAGCAAGAAGGAAACTGGAATTCCCACTGGGAAGTGCTGCTCGACGTGTACAAACACCTGGATGCAGCAGGTATGTGTTAATATGCCAAAAAACTCATTAGGTGTCTGGCGCAAGAGACACTGGCCCACAATGCAAATGGATGTGCATCAAAGGCACCAAATTTGAGAAGATGGTAGAAGCAAAGCGAGACAACAAACAAGTGTGAACAAGTGGGCTGAGACTGCGAGACACAAAATGTGTCCCTGAGGCACCAGCATCACAAAAATCAAGGGAGGCAAGAGAAAAGATGCAAGAAAACTAACGAGACACGGCACCCGGGCAAGAGCCTCAATAACAAATACAAAGGAGACATCAAATCGAGAAACGCAAGCCTGGAGACAACAGCAATCCTGCATTCCAAGGATTGCACCCCCCTTGAAGAGTAAGAAACCCGACAATGAGCTGCTAAACGTACTCCGGGAGAATTCCACAAGGACCTGGGGTCATACTTGAGGAATCCAAGAGGAGACAGAGTGAACTAAAATCCGTCTGCCTACCAAACCTGAGAGAGATCCATGAGGTTATGCCAGTTGCCTTTTGCTGCCGCTTCCCGGGGAATGTCGCTACCGAAACAACTGCCTGCAAGTCTTGTAGCAGCTCTACACATACTATGATTGGTATGATGCCATTTTGGACATCTTATAGATAGATAGGATAGGATAGGATCGGATCGGATCTGATCGGATGGTATAGTAAAGATAGATAGTATAGATAGATAGTATAGATAGATAGTATAGATAGTCTTGATAGCCTACATAGTCTATAAATCCGCCCGCACCGAAGGTGCCGAGGCGTTTTTTGTGTGCCTGCTTGAACCGTTAGCAATTGCATTATAGCTAACAAGCTTTAGCTTGGGGGGGTGCATTTTTGCTCTAGAATCCTGTGTTTTTGCATGTTTTTCAAAAGGGGTCAAAATTCTTGATCTGGGCCTATAGGCCAAAAATGGGTCAAGATAGGCCCAACATAGGCCCAACATGAGCCTAAGATAGGCTCACATGGGGCCAACATAGCCTCAAATGGGGCCAACATACCCCTCATATGGGGCCAAGATAGCCTCATACGGAGCTAAAAAGTGCCCAATAAGTGCTAAAAAAACGTTCAACATGGCCAAACATCCTCCAACATATGTGTGTGTTATTGACGGTAACACGAACTCCTTAGACTTCCCGAATCCATTACACTTGGTGACGGTCAATATAGGTATATATATATAATTAGTCTACATAGTCTACATAGTCCACATAGTCTACATAGTCTACACAGTCTAGTTATACAAATATACGTACACATAAAAGTCGGACTCTCTACATTAGGAGCTGCTCAACGGATGGTGACTCCTCACCACGGGTCTGCTGACGCTGGTCCCATTCCTGGCATGCAAGGGGTATCCCTACACACACATCCAACTCCCTCCTGACAAGATCTGCCAAGTTTTCAATGTTGAGTTTTGCTTTTCCTGAAAGAACCAACCTGCTGATTGTAACCGATTGCATCCTTCAAGAAAAGCGGCCTGCTCTGTAAACAAATCCACAGACTGTTGCAGTTCGATTTGCTCCGAAGTCCTTGTTCATCTTCTCGCATTTGGACTTTACATCTGCCAAAAGCCTCAACTAGGTCCGGTACAAGACAATTGGGTCCTGATGATACAAATCTGCACCGCTGAATCTTACACCTGAGCAACGAAATAGCAGTCCATGCTTGATTGACAATTAATTTTAATGATCAATCAAGTGTAGGGGCAGTTGAAGAACGCATTTGTCTGTTGTTTTGATGGAAAATGGTCTTCCAAAACTTGGAGGGTTAATTGCAAAATAGATTGAAGAAAAACGCCGTAGTGCTGGCACCGCCTGCAGTCGGGAAAGAATAAAATGATATAAAATGATAAAACATGGCAGAAACATCAAGCAAGGTGCCAATTCCTCATCAACAAAGACAGAACCATCAGCAACTATTGCAGCCAATATCAAACAGCAACTGGCTCGGCACCAAAATAGTTGTGCCATGCAGTGGGTTCTCTGTTATGCTGGGAACACTACGAGCAGTTGCATACTGATTATTATATTGCCATGCACCAAGACTTGTAGTCATTGTAAGGGAAATCCTCTCTGTATCTGCAATGTTTGATGATCATAATCATGCCAAATGCTGATCGAATTCGGCACCATGTGTGACAAGAATCTAACAGCCTGAAGTAAAACAAAGTAAAACACATGAACAAAACAAGCCAAAACAAAAATGACCCAAGTTGTGACAACTACATATGTGAAACAACAATGACAAGAATGTGAAAGCAATGTGAAAGCAATGTGAAAGCAATGTGAAAGCAATGCGAAAGCAATGGACATCATCTCCAGCCGATTTTGGGTCACCGAGCTCTGAATCTTCCGAAACCTGGACTTCTACATTGGCGATCACCTCTGGGCAATCACTACGTTGACCGTCTGTTGATACGAGTAGCATCAGTTGATATCATGAAGGCAAAATATTTGCATTGTTTGCATTGTTTGCATTGTTTGCATTGCTTGCATTGTTTGCATTGAGGCTGAGATTGTAAAATCTATTTCACATGTTTTCACACCCTGAAATTGCGTTGATTTCACAACAAGGCGCAGGCCCTTCCTGCATGAATGACATCGCTTGGCCGTAAAGTAAAATAAAGTCTTTGGTGCACCATGGCGCACCTCCTTGTTGTCGGAAATCTTTTGAGCGGCATCAGCAATTGCTTCTTTCTTGTCCTGCTTCTGTTCTTCCATAGCCTGCGAAATGCAACGGAGTCACAGAACGAGCACTGGAATCCATCGGCTGAATCACCGTCGATGACTTTGTAGAATTTTGCAGATCGAAACAGATCGAAACAAGTCTCAGAAAAATTCCAGATCCACTGCCTTCATTTCAGCGCTCTTGTCTTTCATCATGCTTTGAAAGGATTGAACACGCTGAGTCTCCTCAAGATTGAAACCTCTCTTGGCACACTGTGGGTATCAGAAATCTATTGGTTTGTTGCTTGACACCGCAAGTGTGGAGCCAAGGCTAAATCGATCAAATTCATGGAGGTCCAGCCACAGATTTGCGCTGGAAATGCAATGCCAACATGCCAGTTTTGGGTCGCGTACTTCAACTCTTGCTGCGTTGCGAGAGAAAATCAATCCGCCCGCACCAAAGGTGTCGTTGGGCCAAAGTTGGAGCGAACTCGCCCAAGTTGGGCCCAAGTGGGCTCCTGTTCGGCCCAACTTAAGGCCAGAAACGGCCAATTTTGACCCCAGTCGGCTTTTGGTTGGGCCAAGTAGGCCCGCTTCTTTCCTCTCTGTCCTATTCCCTGGGTACGGGCAGTTCTCGTCGCGAAGCGACTCGAATCTACAGAGTCTTCAGCTGCAAGCACTTTCAACATCTTTCAACATTGAGATTTCTCCTTACTCCGCATGGTGCCCAAATTAGCGGCCACATCTGTCTGCAGCCCATCCAGCACAGCTTCAACGCCCTGCGAAATCCATGTCGCTCCCCAAGTCGATGAAGTAAACGTGAGTGAAGAATGCAAATTTGGAGCAAACATGTAGCAATCATTCACGTATGCCAGTGTGAATGCCACCGTGAATCTGCATCGCCTCCGGTTCTGGTTCGCGCCTCAGAGAGCTCCAACTGCAGGAAAGTGAAAAGATGCAAACAAAAAGACACACAATTAAAGAAGTTCACCCTAAAGAAAGGTGCCACGAGTGGTCCAAAAAGAACTAACATTTCAAACTGAAACTCAAGCTGAAACTGTCAATTGTTTGTCAATCTCCGGCCTGTGCAGTTGTTGGGGGCTAACGACTAGCTCCAGGTCATTGGTTTGCTGCACTATTTATGAACACGTCATGACATTTCAACATGCCCACGATAAATCCACAGGTAGCCACCACAGAGCAGACTTGAATGCGGAGTTTGCGCCATTGATAAGTAAATGTGTCGGATGTTCCTAACGTGAGAAGAGTCAAGTAATACAAAGGCACATGCGCACAATAATTTGGTGCATAGAGTATAGTAGAACTGTATAGTTTGCTATTCTGCACATTGACATGTCTTGAGTTCACTTCATTTTGTCCGAGTCCGCAGTGCAAGCAAAGCAACGTTTCATGATGTGGCTCAGGAGAGAGAACCAAGAGCACTACTAGCACCATGATGCACCAGGACAGGAGAAGCTCGAGTGGCGCAAGAACTCCAAGAGCTCCACGCCAAGCTCAGAAGACAAGACAAAAAAGCCTTGGAAATGGCCTTGCAATGGCCTTGCAATTGATCGTATGGTGATTGTGAAAGGATCACAAAGTCATCCCGGATGGATCGCTTCTCAACGTGGACAGGAGCAAAGGCAGAGTGGAATTGTACATCTTGGATCATTCTGCGCATGGCTTCCGTTGTAGTATGTTGATGTATGTTGTAGTGTTAAAAAGTTTTCATAAAGTGTTGGAGCATGTTGGAGCCTCGAAAAGAAACTCAAAGCAGTTGGCTCAGCCCGTTGGCTCTGCCCCTTGGCTCAGTTCGTTCACAGTACGGGGAGGGCGAAGTCTGTGTGGACGGGGCGGTGCAATTGGCTCCATGCACATCACGCGCACTAACGTCAGGGCGCTTAACAGAGCTTAAAGGATCTGGAAAATTTGGAAAATGAAACTATTTCAGAAAATCTGAGGCAATCTGAGGAGATTTGGCACGCAATAGCATTTCTGTAAGACTGGACTTGTGGCATGTGCATTACTTGGCAATGAAATTATTTGAGCTTCTGACTGAAGAAATGCCTGTGAGTTTTTCCAACTGCTATTGCTCTGTGCCGCAACCTGCGGCAGACAGGCAATGCAATGAAAAATGCCATGCAGTGAGACCCGCAGATTTTTTGGAACTCTGTAGACCTAGGAGGAAACAGCACTACAAAAGTGGACAGTACGCTGGAAGCTGGAATCTGTTTTCTGCTTCACAGAGTACAATGCAAACACGTGATAAGATGTAACAAGAGTTACTTGCACGAACCCAGCCGTACATAACAAGAGCGCAGATCCACCAACCATCCATGGGCTCCTTCTCCTGCAACGTCGAAATTAAGCTGGAAGCCTTTGTCTCACGTGGAAGAACGGGTGAGAAGATCAAGGAACGAGGGTGCTGCTTTCGACTGAGTGAGAATAGAATCATCTGCTGAGACCCTTCATTGGGCAAAACGGGAACAGAACTCTAGAGGCAAACCTTTCAGTCGAGAGAGAGAGAGAGAAGAACCAACTAGTACAGAATACAAAAGTACAAAAAGTGAGTGTCCCGGGAATTCACCAAACAAGTGCTGAATAAACTGCCATTTAGCACTGAGCATCTGGCAGGGACTTCAGCCTCAGGCACACCATGACATACCCAGAATGATTCTTGCAGCAGAAAGGAAAAAAAACTTGATTTCATCTGCAACCCTCTCAGATCCACCCTACTAAAATTGCCAAGTTTTGTTCCCTAGCTTGCACTCGCTGGCAAACCGTATGGCAAACAAGCTTGAAACCCTCATGGGCTCAACAGGCGGCACCACAAATGCATTGTGATTTTTGCTCAGTAAAGGATGAGTGTAGTAGCGGTCATGTTTGTGTGCACAGGGAATATTCTTGCGTCTTTGGAAGTATAATGAGCCTTCAAAGAAAATGAAGAAGCAACACAAGCCAGATGTTGGCTCAATGCTCAGCTCTGTAGGGAAAGTTTGGAGTGAAAGACTGTCGCTGGAAAGCATAGAGATGTGCTATAGGTTTGCAGTCTCCAAAATTCTGAAAATTCAATCATTTTGGAGGCTGCTACAAGTTGCCTACAGTTGTTTAGACATGTTCAGACTACATGCGTTTAGGCTGCTATTTGGCTCCGCTGTTTTTTTTGAAGCAGGTGACATGCAACAAAATTGGCTCAAACTTGGCTGGTCTGTAGGTCTGTACGCATTGTTCATTGGCAAGCATTGATTTGCTGCTTGTGGTGATTGGAAAATATGCTCTAAACTCAAAAACAGGAGTGAGGTACAAAAAAAACAAAAAACGCAACGCATCTTGTCTCATGTCTGCCGGGCAATGTCCGAATCGCAAAAACAAAGCAACTGATTGGGCAATGTCCCATGGAGCCTGTTTCAAAACCTATGTTGGCATGATCCAAAATCTGCTTTCGCAACAGGGACTGTTCATGACCCCAATCATCCCAAGTCGGCCAAGTCGGCCATGTCGGCCAAGTACCTAAATTCTGTTTGCCTTGAAAGGAGCAAGTCTTCAAGCTCCGAATTTCACAGCAGTTTGCTCAGCTCAGTTTGCCCGTCATGTTTGATGGAGCAACACTTCAACCATTCCAGGGCAGAAACGATCTGAAACGTACTAGTTGCTAGTTGCTTGAAGACTTTTGCTTTAAGATGCACCTTCAAAATTCGATTTTGCCGAAAAGACTATCCATCCCTTTTGCTCCCCTCTCTGCAGACATCCACCCCAAAAGAAGAGTTCAACCAATGCTACCCAGTACGGAAAACAACAGACTGACTGTGCTCGCAGTCTGCTCTAAGGCGTCAGCAATCTTTTTGTGGGCCTCCACAATTTCGTCCACAAGGCTGAGCAATCTAGTTTCCTCCCTGAGACATCGAGAATCATTGAAGCGAAAGATTTCCTCAAGTCTCTATTTCAAAAACACACCAGAACAGTGCAAGCACACAAAGAAGAAGATAAAGCAGGAGAAAAAGAAGGAGAAGAAGAACAAGAAGTCGCATATCTTGACTATCAACATCTATCGATATAGAGAATCAACTTGCTGCCCAGGACACGTTTTGAAACCGTCACGTTCCTTTTCATGCTCTGTTGTGGCAACTGCTTTGGCAGCCTGTGAGCAATGGACATCATCGTCCACTTCAACATCTGCCGCAGAACCCAAACAAATAATCTATACTCTAGACGGTTCAAGTATCTTTCCACTGAATAGTGATTCAAAGCCTGAACCAGAGGGCAAACGGATACTAAGGTGCTCTCAGGACACCTACACATTTTAGATAGAACTACTATATTAATCTATATTTATATAAACTTCATGTCAAGGTGGTAAAACTCTATGTGTTCCTCACAGCCATTTTACAGCACATGATTGTGGACACCCTAATTGGAGGCTGTGCGCACTAGACACACGGTCGCTTCGCACACATTGTCAATATTTGCTGTATTTTTTCTTTGGAAAGGCAACAAAATTCATCACAGACCGATTCTGGCCAAGTAGTGCATTCTAAAAGGTTCTTAATGCAGGCTTTGGTAGAGAATGTACGGCAAAGTTCAGAACATAATTCATTGGGTTGTCATTAAAGTCCACAAAGCGAACATCAAGCGCAACAGGCCTCAGCGCTAGCAATCTCCTGTACAAGTCGTCAGTACAAGAAAATTCAAATGTCAGGAAAAAAAACGGAGACTCTCCGCGGAAATGACATGCTCATGACATGCCATACAAATTCGAAAGCCACTCCTTGCTGAGCTGTTCCTTCTCGGCTGTCCATCTTTCACTGCTTGCAGATAGCCTGCAAAGCACAAAGCTGCACAGCCCCTGCTAACAAACTCTCAGCTTCTTCATCATAAATAGAATCTTTGTAAAAGCGAGCCCGCGCGAACACCACGATAAGGCACTGACTTGCTGAACAACGACAAGATTCTTTGGATCCAAGATAGTACTTATGGGAACCATTAACCATGACATGATACGGCCAAATAGCTTGGGAACCATGACAATAAACGGAAAAAGTAGCGACAAGACGCGGCATGGTGTGAAGAGGATAATATCAATAAAATTCAATAAATATGTATGATATGTCATGATATGTGTGAAATGTTTGCATATTTCGATGTTTTTTACGTAAAAGCACTCCCAAAAATACTGAAGTTGCACGACATGTCCATCGTTTCATCGAGTCTTTGCCCCGTCCTGTTGATGCCGTTGGTTAAAGCAGCAATTCTGCGTTGATTCGTCTCCACCTCAGCTGCTTCAGCTGGTTGCAAACTAAGCCATCTTGAAAGCTGCAACACTGACTTGCCGATCAAATTCTGGTACTGCATGGCACTGCCAATCTTTGTACTGCATATAAGGCAATGGCCGTAGATGTCTTCTCAAAAATGTTAGAGTTGCACCAACATGCCTTGCAGGTGATCAGTGCTGAGGTGACCACAGAGACAATATCTGGAATGTGCCAGTGGTGACCTGTGCTGATGTGGCACCACGTGGCACCACGTGGCACCGCGTGGCACCGCGTGGCACCTGCTTGTCATGTGTCTCTTGATCTTTTTCTTCTTCCTTGGACATCTCCTCTTGCATGTCTTCAAGGAGCTCCACCACCTGGCCGCACATCACACTAGTTGAGTTTTGCCGGGTTTCACCTTCAAAACAGAAAAACAAAACTGTCTTTTGACCAAACGAATTCACGCCATAAGTTCCATAAGTATATGCCATTTCCAGTTGAAAGCAACAATAGAGCCGGAGCCCTCTTGTCTGCAAAATTAAACGAGGAAGCAGCACAGTTCGAATTTGAATGCAACAATTCATTTATCCTATGTGAATGGCCGGAACAAACCGGTGGGAAAAGCGTTGGGACTCAAGAAAAGTAAGTGTTTCACAGTGTTTCACTGTTAAACCAGTGGCCACATGCCACTCAATGCAACTTGCTTGTATTCATGACATAGTATGACAAAAAGGCGGATTGTATTATATTGTATTTATAGATATTTATAGTAAGATTAGACTGCCCATGTCCACCGAGGTTACAGTGGCACTTGTCCTGTTCCCTCAGTAGCTTCAAGTGAGTGTGCACTGTTTCCTGCAGGCAAGTTAAAGTCGGTAACCCTGACCCGTTTCCGCTGCCTTCCCCAGCGTGGCACTGGAGCTAGCTGAGCTAGCAGTCTTTACCGTGACTGCATTGATAGTTCGCAGACACAAAAGAGCAGCAAGAGCATGAGACCATCTCAGCCCTCCCGAGGCTCTCGTCATGTGCCAAGCCGATTGCTTGACCCAGCTTCATTAAAGTTCAACTGCGAACCAAAAGGAACGGATCAGCTCAGCATGCAAGATTGCACTGATTGATTGGTTTGTCTTCTCTGGAAACAAAAACAGCGAAAGCAAAGGAAACAAACACACATATGTGTATATGTATTATATGTAATATATGTGTGCTAATTATGTGATTATAGAACAAATCGCATCTAATCGGTGTACAGCTGCAAAATTCTGTCAGGTCAAGTCAAGGTTTTTCTCTGTTTTCGCCGACACCGCATATCCTATCCGGTTCATCAGGATGAACCAAAGTCCTTGGCCCGGAGCAAAAAGTTCTCATGGGTGAGATCCAAACACGTTTTCAATTTGTTTCAAACATGATTCCAAGGATGCGAAGGATGCCAAGGATGCCAAGGATGCCAAGGCACCTGGTTCTCTAGCCACGAAAGAATTGTTTCAGCTGCTGACCTCCACCTGAGTTGTCCAATCCACCGTTCGTCTTTGATGGTCTTTGTCCAAGTTTGAAACAGCGTAAAACAAGACATCTGCGACATCTGCGACATCTGCGACAAAGAATCACAAGTACTTTGTTCCGGTCTTATCATGTTTCATACTTTCCCGGGCGGTTTAGAGCTTTCTTCATTACCCACTCTGTGGAGTTTTGCCAAGAAGCAATTCCAAGAACTGAAAGAGACACAGGCATTCACTTCACATGCAAGTCTTTTCCTCAAACAATCTTGTTACTATCTTCTTCTTTCCTTTTACCCTGATATTTTGCAACCGGCTGTCTTTCTGTCTGGGTGGGCTCTCCTCACGAGAAGTCTGGATAGGTTCCAGAATCTTTGTTTCAAAATGTTTGACTCCGGAGGCAAGACTTGTAGGCAGGGAAGGGTGGCTAAAGTCTGCAATTTCAGAACTGGCATCACATGTATCTGACAAAAGTAATATATATATATAGCATATATCATATGCAATATATTATATATAGTCTATAATCTATAATCTATCATATATAATGTATAATATATAATGTATAATGCATAATGTATAATGTATAATGCATAGTTTATAATATATAACATATCATTGAAAATATATAATATATAATGTATCATATATAATATATAATATATAATATATAATATACAATATATAAAATATATATGATATAATATATAATATATAAAATAAAATATATAATATATAATATACTATATGCAATATAGAATATATAATATACAATATACAATATATAATATATATTATATAATATATAATGTATAATATATACATATACATATACATATACATATACATATACATATACATATACATATACATATACATATACATATACATATACACATACATATACATATACACATGTATATATATATATATATGTACATATACATTATATATATAATTATATAATGTATAAGTAAAGAGACTTTTGCGGTGTAGCGAAACAAATCTTCAGGCTGCACGCTCTCAAGAAGTTTCTGAGCTCACCTACCGACCTACTCCATCCTACTCCCACCTACTCCAACCTACTCTGACCTACTCCAATCTACTCCGACCTACCTCATACTTTTTGTAGAAATTGTGAGTGTCCTGATGTCCCCGAGCCTGGAACTCAGCATAGCATCGTGCGGAACACCTGCAACTTCAGTCCAAATGGTGGCAGAAATGCGCTTGGTCATCTTGGTCATTTCGGTCTGGTTCACGATTCACATCTTACTTTCCAAAGTGCTGTACGAGCACTAGAGCCTCAATAAATACCTTACTATTTGAACATTGACTTCAAAGGACCCCCATGCTCTGGGATTAACTCGCATTTGTCTGCTAAACTCCATCCATTTCTACAGAATCCATTTCTCTGCTTCAAACAAGCGGTTTAAACCTGGCGGTTTTCTGAGTTTTCTGAGTTTTCTGAGTGGCTGTGGCACCGCTGTGGCACCGCTGTGGCACCGCTGTGGCAATGCTGTGGCAATGCTGTGGCATCGCTGCGACGGCCTTCAAGGATTATTGGCTTCACCTGATGCGCTTTGGCGGTCTCCTCCAGGGCCTGACAAGTCATGAAGTACGCTAAGCCGCTAAGGAGGAGACCGAAGTATGCAATAAGTTGTTGCAAGATGCAAACACACAACCAGGGCAGCAGTTCACTTCATTTAAGTTCAATCCATTGTGCAGCAAATGAAGACCATGAAGACCCTTGGCAGAATCAAGGCTACAATGGGCTGTCCAAAAAAGCTAGGATCATGTCACATATCTCCTTTTGGTGGGCACACATTCAAGCGCAAAACCGAATACTTGAACCACAGATCCTGTCTTCGGATCCAGTGAAGCTACAGTGAAACAGAATCCAGCAAAGACCATGTAGGAGATGCAAACAGGAACGGATGAGGATGATTGAGGATGATTGAGGATGCACCTGGATGGACCTACAGGATGCTGTGTGTTCAAAATGTTCAAAGAATCCTCGATGGTCGAAGCTCTGGGCTCCATGGAGGCGCAGTAGAATCACACGAATCACCGAATCACTCTTCCCGCTTTGAAAAGTCTTTCCCGCTTCTGGAAGCCCGACGGCAGACCTCACGCTTGCATTGTGCAGTCTGTGCATGGTGGTTTGCTTGACTGGTCTATACTGGTCTGTCACCAAGTGCTGTCTGTTTTTTCCATCTCCTCTTTTCTCTTGTCCTCAGATTGTTTTCAGATTGTCTTCCCCCATCTTGTCAGACTTGTCAGGGTTTTTCTGATTGCCTCCTTCCAAGGCTGCACAAACTCGGCAAAAACTTCCGACAAATGCCTCCCAAGACTGGCCAAGCCAAGCAACTACAAGTGAATTCAAACTCAAGAAATCGGAGTTTTATTTATCCAAACTGATAATGTTCCAAATTTTCCTTGTTCGCTCTTTCAGTGGAAAAGCTCCACCGCGGTTTGCTTTGATCTAATGAGGGAAAGAATTGGCTCGCATGTGCAAGTGTCCAAGTGTCTGCTATTATTGTGGAGTTCGTCCCGTTGCAACAAAGGAAAAGTCGCGCTTGCCAAAACTGGAACCACAAATTTGGAGAACACCAAACCTTCCCTTCGTTTTGATGCAGGCCAGCCACTCGAAAGAAAAGGTATTCAGAAGGAGCCACTTGAGGCAAAATCAAATAAATAGATTCACAGCAAAGTGACTTAGACGCAAAACAAAATGAAAACATACAAATTCGAAACTGTGTGATCAAATAACATGCGACTATGTGTGTATATAAAATAAATATGTATGCATATGTATACATATTCATGTCATCGCAGCAGGATTTCAGCTAGGTAACGTCAAAAACGTACAATATGAATCTAGCTAAGCAGTCGTACACACATGTATTTTATCCTCAACAGAATGCATGGAGCACCTCTGGACTAGGATCACTGAGATTTGCAAATACTCAGCCACTCATCTGCATTCCCAAGTCATCCTATTTTTCGCGTCAAGTGGCATTGTTGACACTGACGCATAATACGAGCACATCAGGCGATAATATGTGTTCCCTCCAGCAGATCTCGGCACGGAGCACAGCATCCAGCATCCATGCATCCCATGTCAGGGCAACCCGTTCCCAAAGGACCCCGATCAGAACCCGCCTGAACTGTCCACACCAACATGACTAACATGGATACAAACGACTCCACTGGCCCGATGAGTCTTGTGTAGAACCAATGTCCCTACTCCACAGAAAAAAACAGCCTTGGTGCCAGAAGGATTGCAGTGTGCATCACTCAGTGCTACGTCGCCAATCATCAGCTCTGTGGAAATACACCGGACCAATCTGCGCATGCGCCCCCATCACTGTCCCGCATGCAATTCGATTCCACATCCCCACAAGCAGCACCAGTGCGGCAAGATTAACAGCAAACACGCAACCGGTAGCACAACCTGCAACACAACCTCCAACACAGGGAAAAATGAAAGCCTTGCGAAACTGCAGTTTTGGTAACCTTCTTCCTCTTGAAATTGATCAACCTGCCTTTTCTGAAGCTGTCGCGCGAGTGCAGCTGCCTTGGAAAAGCACCCGGACTCACGCTCGTGTACACACCTCTGAACACGAAACGAAATATTATATCATCTCAAAGTGTCATATGAAACAGATACTGTCTTGCGCTCCCGCAGCTTTCTTTTTCCACAGCTATGCCTATGCTCAGTCAATTTCACCTGCAATCCTCAGGTTTGCTTTGGGTTGTCACGATGTGACACGTACATAGCCCCAGACCAGTTTCGCCACTGGTCAGCTGCCTGGCAACCCAGGCTGGAACCTGCTCTGCAGGAATCACCCATCCCTTAAACCTAAGGGAGGGAAAGGCTCTCTTGGTCGCCCCAAGAGAGGATCCCCGATAGAGGCTATGGACTCGCCTGCCTTGCAGGCTCCCCTAACCTAGGCGGACATCTCCACGGGAGGTCGGCTCTTAGGGTTGGGAGGGTGGGGAAAGAAAACAGCAATGAATGCTATTTTGGTTCAAGTTTACTTGAGCCAAAATGATAGCATTCATTGAAACACTTAAAGATGATACATGCACACCCAAGCCTGCCAAACTCAATGCATGGGTACATCTCAAAGTGTCATATGAAACAGATACTGTCTCGCGCTCCCGCAGCTTTCTTTTTCCACAGCTATGCCTATGCTCAGTCAATTTCACCTGCAATCCTCAGGTTTGCTTTGGGTTGTCACGATGTGACACGTACATAGCCCCAGACCAGTTTCGCCACTGGTCAGCTGCCTGGCAACCCAGGCTGGAACCTGCTCTGCAGGAATCACCCAATGCACTCAACTCCCAAAGCACTAAAGGTATTCGAAGGTGAGAATGACAGCCGCAAAAGGTAGCTGGAAAAAGATTGTAGGGAGGTACGACGAATGAAAGTCAAAACCATGGCATCGCCACCATGGATCGTTGACGCCAAGTCGGCTGATGTCGTCAGCCCAGTTGCTCTTGCTCTGGACGTACTCCCAATATCCTTGGGCTCGCAGTGCAAACAGAGCTAGATGGATCAAATGACCTAGCTTCGCTAAGTCGGCATTGCTAGAACGTCCTCTCACTAGCGTCATGACGGCTGCTACGTTGTCCAAAAACCAGAGGCCGTGTCGGTTTCGAAACAGATCAGGCCTTTCGACAAGGGCGTAGAGCACCATAGATAGTTCCAATTGGGCGATATGCGTCTCTGCAGGTTGCCAAAGTGTTTGGAGCTCTGCACAGTTGGTCGCGACAAAACTGTGACGAATCTGTGATCCGTCAGGTTGGAAAAAGATCAGGTGAAAACCTCCTGAACCAGGATTGTCTGCTTCAACAGCTGCGTCAGATGCTGCAAGAAAGCGCAGATGATCCAGGTGCAGAATGGGAAATTCCCGCTTTGGCTGAAAGCGCATGACTGCTTCGATCACCTCGAAGCATGCTTCAATCTCCGGGGTGATGGTCGAGGTTGATTCGTCTTGCCTGGCTTTGATTGCCATGAGGCCGCCGTATCCCACTCGACCGTAGATGCCCTGTTCCAGGAAATTGGCTAAGCCGTACAGCTTCGATGCTGCCCCTCGGCTAAAATGGCCAGTCACCCTGGCTGTTGCCAACATGTCACGTACTTTATCATGGAGCCGTTCTCGAGCCCAAAAATGTACATGTCCTGTTTGGTTGATGGAGCTGAGATCATGAGTCAGCCCCAAAAAGGTTCCTGTGCTCTGCATTGATTGTTTCTTGTCCTCGGCGCAGGGGGAGCCGATGAGAGAGCACAACTGATTCATGGCCCATTGGCCAGACCCTTTTGAGGATTGCAAGTCTGTAATGGTCGCATCATCAAAGTACAGGGATGTCAGAACTCGGCAAAATCGCCTAGCTAGCGCCTCCAATAGCCTGGAAAAACGGTTGAAGGAGGTAACTGCTAGCGGCAGCCCGAAGAGCAGCCCAGCGTATACTTGGTATGCAGGGGTTTGCCATTCGTGATGGTACCACACCACCACGCAGCCCAGACTTTCCTGCAATGCCATAGGGCAATACCTGTATGCTGAAGGCAGATCTTCTTGTCCTGTTTCCCAGGCGTCGTGCAAGAAGAAGTCGGCTATCTCGTCATCTGTCCAACGATGCATTGCTAGGCGAATGTGTTGGGCAGGACGCAATGGACTGCACAATGTGAGTTTGTTAGCATCAGACGACAAGGCTGATTGTCCTCCAGCGTCACCATTGTCGATCACACGCTGCTTACCTGAGCTTTGCGTGATCACGCAGCGCGGGATCAATCGATGTGCCTTGTTGCCAATGGACCGCAGGAAATCTGTCCGTCGCAAGGGCTCTGTGCAGAAGCCATTCGCTGCGTCCTCCAACGACTGCTGCAGGAGGAACTCATCATCCTTGCCTGCTCTCAGCTGGCTCAAGATATGCTGATTATGTTCCTGCCATCCATCCAACACGTCTGCCATGCTGATCACCTCAGCTGGTTGCTGGGGGAAAATCCCATAGGGTGGTGCGTAACCCACTGCTGGTAGCCCACGGATCAAACCATAGGGAAAGCTGGTGTCTGCCCATGATGTCAGCAGCATCAGCAACGCGATGAACCCCACATTGCGGTGCCGTGTCACCTGCTGGATGGCCGGCTCTTGAAAGGATCGCAAGTGGAGGGTCACCCCCTCCCAGCGTCTCTTCAGCTCTCGCATTGCCCCTACTGCATGCTGTCGCCACGGGCGCAATTGTTGGCCATGTGCTACGTAGGCATCTGCTACGAACTCCAGGTCCAAGTCAACGACTGGGAGATCTTCGTAGGGCAATGGGTGCTGGGCTCGTTGGACTGCTTGGTTGAAGTGGTCATCAGGGTCCAAGTTGAACGGCAGCAGTGGGGGCAAAGCTGCACGGTGCGTCATCGCACCCACTTGGCACCCATCCCCAATCCGCGCAAGCTGTCTCACTGACCCTGCAGCAAGATGCGGGACTAGGGGCCCATCCCAAGCTTCTCCTCGCTCTCCTAGCCAAGTGGCATATGAGCAGAAGGGCGGGCTATTGATGAGGTCTTCAATCATTGCAAACTTGTAGTTCTTGAACCAGTGCTCGGGGAAAAGCTTTTGGAATGCTAACACCAGTGCTTCTTGGCTCATCATGGGTAGGGCTACCCCTCTGGGAATAGCCTGGATCCCCTGCAACAATGCCACAGTCCTGCTCCATCGGCCATCGGTTCCCCTCTGCATCGGGTCGCCCCCAGGTGCGGTTGCATCGAAGAAGAGGCCAATGAGCATGTCCGCTTCGCACAGGTGCTCCATGGGGCAGTCACACGCCAGCTCCATGTTGCTGAGCTCATGCAAGGAGTCCCACAAAGGTGATGTTCGGATGTGGACAATGTACCTGGCTGGCCATTCACCGGCTTCGCAGTTGTGGCCTGGTGTCCATGGCGATTTCCACTTGGTTGTCGACAAGCGATGGTGAAAACTGCCTCGGCCGACATAAATGGTCTTGCGTGGCAACTTGTTGTTCTCGATCATCACCTCCTTGACGAGCCGTCGGACCGGTAACCCCGGTCGTTCAGCCCGCAGGGATTCTGTGAGGCCCAGCGTCACTGCCAATGGTGCCATTGCCCATTCCCGCATTGCGCGCGGATCCATATCCAGCCAGTGCTCACGGCGTCCCACTGACATGAACGTGGGCATGCGTGGGACATTCAGGACGGCTAAACCTGTGCGGACTGCCCACCAGCTAGCCGACACTGCGATGGCAAAGGCAAGGACTGCTGTGTACTCCGCCTCTTCTTTGGATGGGTAGAACCTCTGGCCGTCAGAGGTGTAGGGGGTCCATTCTTGTGGGTCATGCACATGGTGGCAATTGGCTGGGGGCCAGCGTTGGATCTCCTCCACATTGTGTCGTAACACTTGATGTTTGCAACGCGCCCCGCCCAAGGTACATGCCGCATAGGCTGTGTCGAACCATTGTCCCGATTCCCACATAGTCACTTCAGTGGACGTCCACCAGTGCAGGGAGCGGGCAGGGTTTTCACGCACACTGCCTCCCCCCCTATCCCGCAACTTTTGAATCTCTCCCAAGACGTAGTTGCAGGCTTTGTTGTCGAGGTCGACTCTTTGGGCATCCCGGCTGTTGAGGTGGGGCAGACCATCAGGGTAGACCTCTGATCGAAGGGGACCAGGGGCTGGCCGCCCATCTTCGAACTTCCTGGGGATCTCCCTGGCCCTGCTCTTTGTAGAGCAATCGATGGCTGCCGCTATGAAGATCACCTCTTCAAGCTGTTTGCTCAGTGAGTGTTGCCGGCGCTCATCAGCTAGGTCATGGCTGTCATCCAACAACCAATCCACTGTAATGCATTGCCACCCGCAACTGATGAATGCTTTGGTGAGGGGTGCGTTGGGACCTGCCATGAGATCTGCCATAAGAGGTCGCCCCTCTTGCGGCTCTAGCTCATCTGACCCAAAAGAGGCAGCCGCCTCCTCTTCTGGGGTGTGTCAACGCTTGCCAGTGCAGTTAGCTGCACCGTGGTTGAAAGCTCCACACACCCGGTCTTTCCTGACAACTGCTCCGCATCCATGGGCTCCTTGAGGACATGGTTTGGCCGGTTTGGCCTTGCAGCCTCCTCGTTGAAATTGTGGGCAAAGTTTGGTGCCATCTTTCATTGCCGTCGCCACAGACTTGCCGTTGATCGGCTTTCCCAACTTCAATGGTGATGTACTTGGCGGCACTTTAGATGGGCTTGCAGTAGAAGCTGCGGTGGGGGCTGCACTCTTCTTGTCCGGAGTAGCGGGCCCTGGTGCAGACCAATGTGCATCCCTGGATGTGTAGATCTCGCTGATCACCTGGCCCAAGCTCATTGTGGACTCACGGAATTTGGACACCCACTCACTGCGTTCCTCCACATCTTTGGCCTGGAGCCATTGCATGCGCTGTGATGTGGGCACACCCGCCACACTGCGCTTGGCTCTGAAGTAGTACTTGTAGACGATGTCCATGGGAACGTTGACAAACTTGACTGTATCTGCTCCCAAATTGAGCTCTTGCGCGGCATCCGGTGCTCCGGTCGCCCCAGAG